CACCGAAGTGGCGCCGAGGCTCGCTCGCGCGACCTGCGCCCGTCGGCCACCCGCCTCCTCCTCCTCCTCCTCCTCCTCCTCCTCACTCATGGCGGTTGATCGTCGTCGTGCTCCTCCTCCTCCTCCTCCTCCTCCTCCTCCTCCTCCTCCTCCTCCTCTTCCTCCTCCTCTTCCTCCTCACTCATGGCGGCGAATCGTCGTCGTGCTCTTCCTCCTCCTCCTCCGCCTTCTCCTCCTCCTCTCCTCCTCCTTCTCTCCTCCTCCTCCCTCATGGCATCGATCGTCGTCGTGCTCCTCCTCCTCCTCCTCCTCCTCCTCCTCCTCCTCCTCCTCCTCCCTCTTTCCTCCCCCTCCCCCTCCTCCTCCTCCTCCTCCTCCTCTTCCTCCTCCTCCTCTTCCTCCTCCTCCTCCTCCTCACTCATGGCGGTTGATCGTCGTCGTGCTCCTCCTCCTCCTCCTCCTCTTCTTCCCCCCTTTCCTCCCACTCATGGCGGCGAATTGTCGTCGTGGTCCTCCTCCTCTCCTCCTCCTCCTCCTCCTCCTTCTCCTCCTCCTCGTCTTCCTCCTCCTCACTCAAGGCGGTCGATCGTCGTCGCGCTTATCCTCCTCCTCCTCCTCCTCCTCCTCCTCTCCTCCTCCTCCTCCTCCTCAGTCATGGCGGCGAATCGTCGTCGTGCTCCTCCTCCCCTCCTCCTCCTCCTCCTCCCTCCTCTCTCCTCCCCCCTCCTCCTCCCTCCTTCTCCTCCTCCCCCTCCTCCTCCTCCTCCTCCTCCTCCCCCTCCTCCTCCTCCTCCTCCTCCTCACTCATGGCGGTCGATCGTCGTCGTGCTCGTCCTCCTCCTCCTCCTCCTCCTCCTCTTCCTCCTCCTCCCTTGCCGCCCGCACCGGGGTGTGCGAGGCCGCCACCACCTCCAGCGCGTCGTCCTCGTCGGCGGCGGCGGTGGCGGTCGTCGGTGCCCGTCCTCGGCGGTGGTCGGCGGTCGTCGGTCGTCAGTCTTCGGTCGGCGGTCGTTGTTCGTCGCCCTTGGGTCGTCGGGCGTCGTCCTCGCGCTCTGGCCTTGGGTCGTCGGTCGGTCGTCGTCGGCGGTTGCGCCAGGTTCGTCCTGGGCTGTCGTCGTCCGTCGTCCGTCGTAGTCTCTATCGTAGCGTCAGACCCTCATGCCGGGCCGCCAGCGCGTGCGCGCGCGACAGGGACGCATTGGAAGCGGACCGTGCCGCGGGGGGGGGGGCAGGAGGAGGAGAGTACGGGTGGCAGAGGGGATCGAGGGATTGAGGTTCGAGGCGTTTGGAGGTTTCTGGCCGTTGCCTGGGCAGCCAGGGGCATCATTTCCAGGACTTCGACCATGCGACTCCTGGGAACTGCGGCAGGCTTTGGAGACGACCGTGCGGGGCGTTGAAGGCGAGAGAGAGCCGCACTCCGAGAAGGCCCCGCCCTCCATCCTCAAAGCGGCTGCAGCTCCTGGGGTCCTCAAGAGGGCGGTGGGGGAGTTGGGCGGGGGAAGTGCAGATTGAGGGGGTAGAGGGGGAAAGTGGGAGCAGGCATTGAGGGGATTGAGGGGATTGAGGAGATTGAGGGAGATTGCGCGGATTGAGGGGATGGAGGGATAGAGGGGGACGTGGAGATCGAGGGGATAGAGGGGGAAATTGGGAGCAGGGATTGAGGGGATTGAGGGGATAGAGGGAGATTGAGGGGATTGAGGGGATGGAGGGATGGAGGGGGACGTGGAGATCGAGGGGATAGAGGGGGAAATTGGGAGCAGGGATTGAGGGGATTGAGGGGATAGAGGGAGATTGAGGGGATTGAGGGGATGGAGGATGGAGGGGGACGTGGAGATTGAGGGGATAGGGGATAGAGGGGCTAGAGGGAGATAGATTGAGGGGCGCGACCGAGACGCCCCACGCTCGGAACAGAAAACCCTGGGGGGGGTTGGTGTGTGTCGTCTCTGCGCTGCACCCGAAGGCCGGTCTCGGGCTTCTGGACAGTCACGCAGCAAGCTGGAGTGGAATTCCGGCCCCGGGGAAAGGGTCGAGAGGTCGGGGGCGGGGGGCCCGCGCATCATGCACATGGAAGCGTCCTGGGGCGATGAGGGCGACTCGGCATGGGGGAGAGGATGTGGGGGGGGGGATGGCGAGGAGGGGAGGAGCAGCAGGTGGATATAAAGAGTAGATGCCGGAAGAACCGACGGAACGCAAGGAGGAGGTATTGAAGAGGGAACGGGGAGGGGGATGAGAGTGGCGGAGGGGACAGGGAGGGTACGGATGATGACAAGTGTGCTGATGCTGGTACGGAATCATGTTGATGCATGCGCCTTCCAAGGGACCGGCGCCTGTCGCACTGGCCGCCGCCGGGTGCCCGCAGCCTGGAGGCCCTCGGAGATGGGAGCCGTCTGGTGGTCCGAGGTGCCTGCAGCACTGGGCTCGGCCAGCAGGAAGGGCGGGCAGGTTCTAGGCCGGGTCCTCCAGCGCCAACGCCCCGAGCTTGTCCCAGTCTCCCGCCCCGCGGAGCGGAGTGCCACGCTCTTCGCTCGCATGGCATAGCGTGTCGCTGGGGCCGCCGCCGCGCAACGCTCAGCAACAGTTCCCAGCCGAGTCAAGCCGGAGTCATGGGACTGGCGCAGATGGGTCGGCTGCGAGAGGCGCAACCGTTCATTAATTGCGCAGTCCTGCGTGTAGAAGGGCACAAATATTGTGGGGCTCGTAATCTATTGCGGGGCTTTAGTTCGGGGAGGGTTTTTATGGTCAAGCCGCATAGCAGGGATGGGCGACCTTCCCAAGGGTACCCTTGCATCCTTGCCTCCTCTGTCCGTCCTGCGCCACTCTCGTTGGCCGCGCCCCGCTCGGAAAGCTTAGAAATGGGCGTCCAAGGCCCTTGCATCCTGATCGCGCATCCTTACTATACGGGTCGACTGCACCTTTTGCGGCCTCTGGGGGCCGTATTCGGGTCACGGGGCGGTCATGATGGATCTGGGGTAAAAAGTGGCACCTGATGGACCCCAGGAGGGGGCCCAGGGCCGATTTCAAGCGGACTTGTTCATTATATTCGAAGGCGGAGAGCATCGGCGGCGAAATCCGAACCCTATCATCGCCGATTGACGATCCAGGCAGCTCGATGGGCGGCGGGGGTAGGGTTCGGAATTCGTCGATCACGCGGCGAAGTCCGCATCCGCAGCCGGGAGGTCACTGGAGGTCCCCAAAATTTGAAGAAGGAAACGAAACAGCATACGTGGATAAATTCCAACCATGCATTCACATAAGAGTATACATGTATGTATATGTGTACATACATGCACATAGACATACATATATAAATGTAATGTTCGACGGTCCGCGCGGATTTCTTGGAGCTGCGCTGGACCCCCCTGGCGGCGCCTCCGGCGCCGCCCCTGGCACGCTCCGCGCGCCAGGGAGGGATGCCCATCGGCGATCCAAGAAATTCGCGCAGATCTCCCAAAGTTCATTGTATGCAGTTTCTGTTAGTCGAATACCTAATGCGAGAACGGTCAGGAACTTTGCCTTAGCGTGTCGCGCCGCCAGCTCTGGTCCACCACGTTTCGGCGCGACACGCTATCCACTTCCTGGTCCCCCAGCGTCAACGTCCCGAGCTTTTCCCAGTCTCCCGCCCTGCGGAGCGGAGTGACACGCTCTCCGCTCGCGTGGCATAGCGTGTCGCCGGGGCCACCGCCGCGACACGCTAAGCAAAAGTTCCCAGCCTTAGCAAGTTGGAGTCATGGGACTGGCGAAGATGGGTCGGCTGCGGGAGGTGCAACCGTGCATTACTTGCGTAGCCCTGCATGCAGAAAGGCACAGCTATTGCGGGGCTTGTAATCCATTGCATGGGCGGCAACCATTACGCGTGAGAGAAGCTACACAAGTGCATACGCACGAAACGATTGCATCCAGCGCGCAACCGATCGCATGCAGGCACCAACTATTACAAGTCCTATTGCACTTGTCCCCGCGGAGCCATCTGCGCCAAGCCAACTACTCTGGCTAGAAATCAGCATTACCATAAACTCGTGGATCGGCTTTGACCACATTGGCCACATTGGCTGTGCATCTGGCGCAGCCCCTGGCGCGCTCCGCACTCCAGGGAGTGGGGTCTCAGCGCCGATCTAGGAAGTCCGCTTGGACCGCCGAAAATGTATGTTTATGCAGTTGTTTGTTCCTCGATGGCTGTTTTCGAATGCACTTCTGGCAGCGCCCAGGGGGGTCGCCACTGGGGGGGAGCACCACCTGGTCCAGGTCCTGGACATGGAGGACCGAGGAGGAGGGAGGGTCGGGGACCGAGCAAATAGTCAAACAAGTATCCGGGGACGACTTCTTTAGCAGTTTGAACGTGTTGGTTAGTCTTTTTTTACTTTTCGTTCAAAATCGCCCTGTAGGAGGACAAGCCCGACCTAAGGAGAAGGAGTAAGCAGAAGCCCCAGCCGCTCTTCTTCACAGCGTGCGCGTCGGGACGCACCTCGGGCTCCTCTGTCGTGCTGACGGTGAGCAGGCGCTGAGGCCTGGGCCTACCCGCTGCCACTTCCTCTCCCTGCCAAGCCCTTCCAGTGTGTCGTGCTGTGTTGGCCTCCCTCGGGGTGCATCCTCCTCCTCCTCCTCCTCCTGCTCCTCCTCCTCCTCCTCCTCCTCCTCCTCCTCTTCCTCCTCCTCCTCCTCCTCCTCCTGCTCCTCCTCCTCCTCTCCTCCCCCCCCTTCCTCCTCCTCCTCCTCCTCCTCCTCCTCCTCCTCCTCCTCCTCCTCCTCGTCCCTCTTCCTCCTCCTCCTCCTCCTTCTATTCCTCCTCCCCTCCTGCTCCTCCTCCTCCTTGAACTGTCTCCATTCGGGAGCGGTGAACTTAACTTCCGCCCCCGCTCCTGACTCCCAGAGGTCCCCAGTCCCCAGGGAACGTTCTCCGCGGGCATCTCTGGGGCCCAGAGCGACTGAAGGTATTCAAGTAAGACGCCCGGAGGCCTTCCTCTTGGACACTCGAGGGCCAGGAGCATGATTTGGCACCGCAGGACCTCACGAAGCAGTTGAGGGCCACGATCGAGGCCATCTTCCTTGCACCAATGCTGCGCCGCGACGGGATGCTCAAGGCATTCCCCGCCTCTCCCGCCCTCTTCCTTCTCTCTTGAACCCTGCGCTTGGGTCTACATCGATCCTCCTGCTTCGGTGCGCATCGTTGGCGCGCCTGGTCTCCGTCGTCGTCGGTGTCGTCGTGGTCGTGGTGCGTGTTGCTCTGCTCGGGAACTGTTGCCTTCATGCAGTGACCACCACCCACCACAGCTACCCCCTGCAAGGGGGGTCCTTCATTCTCCCCATACCTCTCCCCCCACCCCCCCGTCATCATCCTGCCCCTCTTTTCCAGGCGACGGAGGTTCTGGCCCCGAAGTGTCGACCTCGCCCCAAACTAGAGACTTTCGCACTCTCGATCTCATCAGGTCCGTGTGCTGGCCAGGGCCATCCTGTGCTCTGACACTGACATGGCTGATGTGCCTCCTAGTGCAGGCCAGGAGGGTCGATGCACACTCCTGCGGCCCAGGCTGGCCCCAGCCAGGCAGTATTGTTAAGTCGGGCCTGTCCCTCTACAGGAGGAATATTCAAAAATAACCAAAAATAGTTTAGGGACGATGTTTCGATTATTTTGAACTATTTTTGAATCTGTTTTGACTAACTATTTTTAAATATTTCGTGCAGAATCCACCTGTAGTGGGGACACGCCCGACCTAACGTTATTGTGGTGTACACCATATGCTTTATGAAACGGCCCACCCCAGAACAGAACGTTTCCCTCTCTGCTCTGGTGCCTTACGCTCCTGGCCCCAACTCCACGCTTCACTCTCTGCTCTGGCGCGCCCGGGTACGAAACCCACCCGGGACGCCCCGCCGGCGCACCCCGTTTCGAAAGCCCGCGGGCCCGGATGGCCAGAGCGCGGGGCAACGCCCTGGCAGCGCGTGCGAGCGTCCAGCGGCGGCGTCGGCGGCGGCGTCGGCGACGGCGGCGTCGGCGACGGCGACGACGACATCCAGAGATCCCCGGGGGACCCCGCAGCCCCAGAAGCTTCCCGGAAGTAGGGGGCCGGCTTTCCGCAATCCCCCAGAGGTCTCCCCGCATTCCCCACCCCTCCTCCAACTCCTCCCCACTCCGTCGCACTCCTCGGCAATTCTCACCGCTCCTCCCGATTCTTCCCCACTCCATCGCAGTCTTCGGCCCTCCTCGGCACTCCTCCCGCCTCCTCCCCACCCCATCGCAATCCTCAGCCCCCGCTCCTCCAAGCTCCTCCCCACTCCATTGCACTCCGCGGCTCTCCTCCCAGTTGCCCCAGACTCCTCCCCACTCCACCGCGCTCCTCGGCACTCTTCCCGACTCATCCCCGTTCCATCGCACTCCTCACCGCGACAACGACGCTGACGACGACGACGACGACGACGACGACGACGACGACGACGACGACGACGACGACGACGACGAGCACGTCGATGACGACGACGACGACGACCACGATGACGACCACCGCCACCACCACCCCACGCCCACAGGGGGGGCGGGGGGGGGCCACCACGCCACGCCCGCAGTGGGGGGGGGCCCATCGCGCTGGGGGGGGGGGGCGATGACATCAGCAGGAGGGGGGGGGGCAGACCCTGGACCGTCTATCTCATATCCGTCCATCCATCCGTGCCTCCATTTATCCATCCAGGGAAAGAGGGAGAGGGGGGATTCCAGGTCGTCGGCAGCACCGGGTGCGCCCTGTACGAACCCCCCTGGAAGGCGGGGGGGGGTCGTGCCACGGGGCACCGCTGACATACATATATATATATATATATGTATATATATATATGTATATATATACACATACATAGACATAAATATATATATATGTGTGTGTGCATATAGATATAGATATAGACATACACATATATATATATATATATATATATATATATATACCAGGCGTTTTGTCTGATCAGATCCTGGGGGTGCCTCCCCCGTCGCCGCTGGCGCCGCTGGCTGCACTGCTGCCGCTGCCGCTCGCCTCACCCCCCCCCGCCCACCCCTGCCCGCCGCGACAAGTTACGGCGTCGGGGGTCTGGGTTCGCATGTGGCCTCCTATGAAGGGGCCCCAGGACACAAATAAATACACACAAATAAAAATATTCCATGTATTTTCCCACATTTTCTGGGTTTCTGTCTTCCCCCCCACTTCCAATATTTTGCCAATATTTTCTGGGGAATCGACGATTAATTGTGTCTGTGTGTTTCTTTCCCTCCTGATCCTACCCAGGCCCGCGGCACGACCCTCGTCATCGCACCGGCCGCCCTCTACCAGGCGGCTGAGGCCGGGGGAGGGGCGGGCCCAGCAGCGACGGACGCATCCCCAGACGTCGGAGGAGGACACGTCGGAGGAGGAAGAGGTGCCCACACCGCCACACTGCCCTCGGTTTTCCCTTTTTGGGCCTCCTGTGAGGCCTTCCTCGCTACCCTTTGGTCGGGCATGTCCCTCTACAGGGGGAAACTCAAAAAAATGTATAACAAATAGTTTGGTGACGATTGTTCGATTTTTTTACCACTTTAGAATATCCGTTTTATTTATATGTGGTTTTTCCTACAGAATCTGCCTGTAGGAGGACATGCCCGACCTAACGCTACCTTTGGATTCGCCTCGGAATTCTGGTCAGAGACCTCAGGGCCCCCCTGGACCGTCTGGGCGGCCTCTCGAGGCCTTCTGGGCCCGTCTTGGGGCCCTCCTGAGGCAAGAAAAGTCACGCGACAATCCGCGACGATCCGCAGGGGACATGCGACGCGCCCCAGAAGAGTTGACAGGATAGGGCCTTGACCCCTGAACCCCTGAAAGAATCTTCAGGAATGATGGCCGATGCCTAAAGGGATGGGGCAAAGGACATGGGGGGCACTCCATGTCGTGCCACAGGGGCACGGTGACGGATAATGATGACATATGCCCGAAGAAGCTGTGCGCGGACCTCAGCTCGCGTGCTTTCCGTGACCCTGGGGGCCAGGATCGCTTGCTTGGCAGCGGAGGGTGCCGCAGCCTTGGCCTGAACGGCGACCTTGTAAGGATCAGGCGGGGCACCTTTTGACATAAAGCCCGAGGCCCACGGACCTGGCGATCTGTGCCGAGGAACTGCGAGCTCAGCCTGGGTAGCGCCAGGCGAAGTTGCGGCAGAAGCTAGGGTTACGGGGAGTCGGTCGGGCCAAAAAGCGAGGGGGCAGGAAGAACGGAGGTCGAGGATGTTGACACGTCCAACATGCGCATGGGTAACAAAGATGGGGACGAAACGGGGAGAAGCCCCTGCTGAATATTGCGGGCGGTGGGCATAAGAGGGAGACGGCCGAGGGGCCGTGTGAGGGTTGAGCTCGTCCTCACCCGTCACCTCCACGACCTTCTTGACTTGGTCCTGGGAGTCCTTGACCTCTTCCAGGAAGTGTGCAGGTGCTTCCCCAGGTAGTGCCCGCTCCGACCGTCTCACCGTGCCGCAGGACTCGCGTAGCGCTGCTCCCACGACTGCGGCGAGCTGGTAAGGTTGGTGGCCTCGATGTCTGGAGAGCTCGGCAATGCTGCAGCTGCCCTGGCCTCCACGCCGATGTTGGGCTCGGCGATTGGCAGACCCTGAGATCCGACGTTGCAAAGCAAATGCGAGAACGCAACAAACACACGCCCAGAGTCCCAGTCCGCATCGTTCCGCATCATTTTTCGAGCCGCACCGATCTGTGAGGGTCCTTATGGCGGGCGGCTGGGCAGCAGGGGGAGGGGAGGGAAGAGAGGAAGAAGGAGGAGGAGGAGGAGGAGGAGGAGGAGGAGGTGAGGAGGAGGATGAAGAGGAGGAGGAGGAGGAGGGGGAGGAGGATGAGGATGAGGAGGATGAGGGGGAGGGGGAGGGGGTGGAGGGTTATGCAGAGGACGGGAAGGGGCAGGGGGAGGGGCAGGGGAAGGGGAAGGAAAAAGAGGAGAAGGACAAGCAGGGGCAGGGCGAGGAGGAATCGTGGGAGAGGCAATGTAAGGGGGAGGAGGGGGGCCGCGGACGGGGGAGGAGGGGGGCCGCGGACGAGGGAGGAGGAGGAGGAGGAGGTAGGGGGGAGGGGGAGGAGTAGGGGCACGAAAACGAAGACGAAGGCCTAGGCGGCAGTCGTGATCGCCACGGGCAATGTTCCCAAGTTCACCCTTGCATCCTTGCCTCATCGGTCCATCCTTGGCCGACTTCGCTGGCCAGCCTCGTTCGAAAAACGTCAACGTGGCCCTCCAAGGCCCTCGCACCCGTACCAAACCCATCCTTCTTACACGGGTTGACTGTATTGCTTCCTGTGCCAGGCTCACGTTTTGACGTTGTGCGTCATCCTCTCCTTTCCCCTGCTTCCCCCCCTCCTCTTACGGATGTCTGCTCCAGCCAGCTGCTGCTCGATTTTCCCAGCTGCGAGCAGCGGCCGCAACGCTCCTCCGCGCCAGCTCATGCACGGAGGGGGCCTGCTCAGGGAGCCGAAGTAGGCTCGCGGGATGCCGTCCGTCGACGTCCTCCAGATGGACGAGGCGCCGCTCCAGGAGCCTCCGGCGCGGCAGGCCCGTGCAGCGGCGGAGCTGCCGTCGGCGGCAGTGGCCGCGACGAGGACGCCGTACCCGCAGGCCCTGCGGGCGCAGGTGGAGTCCGCCAGGGCGGCGGGCGGGCCGGGCGACCCGCCCGCGGACCGCCGCGCGGGACCGCTCGCGACCCCGGCCTCTCCGGTGTCGCGCGCTGCGTCGCCCTTCGAGCTGAAGGTGAGGCAGCCCGGGGCCAGGCAGCTGGAGGTGCGCGGCTCCATGGGGTCCGCGCGCTTCTCCACGGGGTCCGCGCGCTCGGCGGAGGTGAGGAGGAGCACGGCGGCGCTCAGCTCCGAGGCCGGAGGTTCGTGCTGCGCCTCCACCCGCCGGGGGGCTGTGGTGTCCAAGGGCCCCTGGAGGCAGTGGACGTGGACGTGTTTTGGCCCTCGGCGCGCCAGAAGATGCCCACGTCCACCATCCTGCGGTCCTGGGGCATCGGATCCCCAGGCGGTGGACATGCACAAAGTCCGGCCTCGGGCCATCATGGGGCTGAAGTGCACGAGTCTTTATATCAGCAGGGACACGACCAGAGAGCCAGTTGCCCTTCAGCACGATGACGAGGTCATGGGGCTCGCGTTCAACCCGGTTGGGACCCAGCTGCTGGCGGGGGGCGAGGACTGCGCCGTGGTGCTCTGGGACGTATCGGGCGGGACCGAGGTCTTCAAGGCGAAGACCGAAACTACGGTCAAAGCTGTGGCCTATTCGCCAAGTGGCTGTTATGTCGCCGCCGTCGACGCCAACTCGGTCGTCACCGTTTGGAGGGCAAGCGACGGCGAGGAGGTGGGGAGAGCCAACGTGGAGGGTGACGTGCTCTCGCTGGCCATGTCCGCCAGCCGCAGGGAGGTACTGGCAGTCGGGACCACCGAGAAGACGGTCACGCTGTTCTCGGTCCCTAGCATGGAGAGCATCACCGAGCTGGCGCACGACGGCCAGGCAAGAAGCCTCACCTTTTCGCCAGACGGTGCTATGCTCGCCGGCGGGGGCGGAATCGACGACATGCACGGCCTGATGACCAAGAAGAACAAGGACAAGAAGATGAAGACTGTGATCTGGCAATTTGCCGCAGACGGCAACATCGCTAATCAGGTGGCCGACTTAGATTTCGACGACATCGTCCACGCGACGGTGTTCTCCCCTAGCGGGCACTTGCTGGCCATTGGTGGCGAGAACTGCGAGGTGACCGTGCTGCTCGTGGACCGCGGCTTCGAGCGTGCCACGAACCTCCACTGCGCCGCCGGCGTGAGGTGCCTGGCGTGGTCGCCCGACAACCGCTTCCTGGCTTCGGGCGGCGAGGACATGCAGATATCCATCTGGGACGTCATAGACGAGGTGCTGGCCGTGCAGCTGCCCAAGGCCAGGGATTGGTACTGCAGCCTCGCCTTCTCCACCGACGGGCTCTGGCTGGCCAGCTGCGGCTTCGGCTCCCGCGAGGTGCTGCTGCACCCGGTGACGACGAGCGAGGAGCGCCCCGTCTCCCGGGCATCATCGAGGGCGCCGTCGGAGGCGGACGAGGCCGAGGCCCCCAGCCTCGACGGAGACCATGACGAGGACGCGCTCCAGGACGCCGGCCAGGCGCCGAGGAGGCTCAGCACGGGTTCGGCGGCCCCGCAGACCCTGGCGGTCACCATGTCGGTGCCAGCCTTCGTCGAAATGGGCGACCAGGTCCAGTTGGGATGCGTGGAGTGCGGCATCTGCTGTCTCCAGGACCTCTCCCCCTAACGCCCCAGAACCATAGGATTCCACCCATCACGGCCCCGCGAGAAGACTTGTGCACGTAGCAAACGGCAGCGCGAAGAACGCCCGTCACACAAAAGCAGCCGCGCAAAGAGTGCGAAGCTATAGAAGACAGCCGTGCAAAAGCGTAAACTCACTGAGCACAGCCGCGCTCACCATGCAAATAGAACAAGTCGAGTTGTGTTTGTCCCGAGCGATCCCCCCGACACCTGCGGCGCGTGCGCGGGGCCCGGTGGTGTCTCGGCCCGTGCGGCGGCCGGGCCGTGTCGCAAGTGGATGTGTCCCGGAAGTCAAGCAACAAAACTGGGGCCCCCGACGAAAGAAACACGAACATGTCCCTGGAGCAACAACAAATAAAAAAGAGAAACACATAATATATATACATATATATAAACAAAAAATAAAAAATAGCATGCCCCTGGAGCAACAGACAAGCCCCCCAAACGCCCCTTGCGGGACCCCACAACTTGCTGCTCACCTCCTCCTCCTCCTCGTGTGCTGTGTCTGATCAGTTTCGAGTCTGCGACGCTGCAGTCCGATACGTTATGTTGTCGATGGGGCTGCGTGACTCCGCGACATCTGTCACGTTTGATGATTCGTCCGATCGGTCTTTGCTGCGCCTGTTTGTACCAGTAGGCGGGATTACCTTGGCGCGCACCTCGCAGTTGATTATGCTATGATACAGCCTATTATGTTATTACGCTGCTCTTAAAGATTGTGCTTCTCTTCGGTTCAAGTATGCTATGGGACATTCACATGTGTCATTGAATGTGTTGGTGTGATATGATATGATCTTCTGTGTGGCATCGCGTTATGGCATGACACGTCTGTTATGGCAGGCCAGGATATGTGTCGCTTCTCTTGGTGATGCTGTTCACGGTATGCCAAGTGTGTTGTAATGTACGGTGTTTTGCTCTGCTATGACATACTTCTCACATGAAGGTATCGCCAATTTTTATGTTTAAGGGGATATCGTTGGGGGGTAGCAGTAGCACAACGTTTCTGCCATGTTCCCCAATCAGTGCTTGCATTGAAGGGGTCCTAGCGGAAGTTGAAAGATTTGGCGAAAGTTTCCCGCCCATTTCAGTAGCAGGCTGGGTTCCCAGGTTCCCGGTTCCGGGTCCCCGGGTTCCCGATTATTGGTTCCAGGCCGATTGCGGTGGGTTCTGGGTTCCCGGCTCCCGGGAAACCCGTCGATCTCATCAGCGAAAACCATAGTTTGTTTTTTTTTATTTGGTGTAATTATGTTGATTCTGAAATGCTCTGTCCGCTGTATCAGGCTGGTTTGATAGACTTATGGCTCACGCACAAATAACATTTAAACTATGCAACCACATGTTAGCCCGCGTGGACCCCAAAGAGTGCGTTTGTAGTAGAAGAGGTTGTGCAATTCAGCTCGAGCAGCCTCTGTGGTGCCGTGTACGTGGTGCATCAAATGTTTTTCCATTTAGGCCGCGCAATATACGGTGCCAATTTAGGTTGACCAGTATATGTGGTGCATACCATGGTGGCCAATCTGTGTTGTGCAGACTATGTGGTGCGATGTATGTGGACAGGGGCTTTGTTGTGCAAACTATGTTGTGCAACATACGTTGCGCAAGCTGTATTGTGTATCCGATGTTGCGCAGTCTATGTGGTGCAATCTAGGTGGCGCATACTAGATTGCGAACATGTGTGGCACAATCGGCGTGGTGCAAACTATTTGGTCCAGTCTATGTGGTGCGCAGCCGATGGCGTGGCACGATCGGCGTGGTACAATCGACGTGTTGCAACCTATGTGGTGTAGCCCATGTGGTGCTATGCACGCGGTGCATTCTATGCGGTGCAGCGAATTTCTGTTCGCAGTGAGTTGTCCAGCCCACCGCTCGCGCAAACATCCCACTGGTTTGCAAAACCCATGCGGCGGTGATTGCGATGAGTGCTTGGTGTTGGCTGGTGCACCTCTGCGGCCGCGCTAGCCCGCGCATGCTCGCGCGCGCAGCGGCCAGCTAGTTTGGCGCGACCGACGCGAACGCGGTGGCGCTGACCGCTCGGCACATGTGGGCTGGCACTTCAGTGCGAGTCGGCGCGACTGGAGCGGGTGCGGTATCATGGCCACGTCGACAACGGTAGACACGAAAATGTTAGTAGCGATGCTGGCGACGATGCTGACAGCGACGGCGGGGCAGCCAGTGACGGCGCCGATGCGAAATCCGCGTTGCGAAACCATTCTCTGTTGTATGGTTTTTGAACAGTCGATGTCGAATTCCTCGGAACCGAAGGTTGTTGAAGGATTTCGGCATGCGCGCGTGGCGACGCGCGCGTGTGCACTTCGTTTCAGTTTGTTGCAAGGAATTCTCGCGACGGCACGCGCGCAAAGGCGTTCGAACGATTTCGAAATGCGGGCGCGAAGCGCGTTTGCTGGTATGGTCTGAAAATGTTGAAACAGTTGTTCGGGGTTGTTTCAAATATTCGGAAGAGCGCGCGCGCACGCTTGTTTCTTGTTTGGGAAATCCGTGCTGCGAAACCGTGTGTTCTTTTTTGTTGTTTTGGACACTCGATTTTCACATCTTTCCGACACCGACGGTTTTTGAAGGATTCCGGCATGCGCGCGCGACGACGCGCGCGTATGCCTTTCGTCAAAGTTTTTGCAAAGGACGTGTGAAACTTATGGTTTTTGATAAACGAGTGTTCGCGCATAGCATATTTCGCAAAGGATGGTGGGGGGGCGATACCGGCCAGGCTAGGATAGTATGAATTCACAGTTAGGATGGACGATGGCAGGGTCATATGTAACTTGCAATAAGGAACAGTGAACCGTTCAGTCCGGGGGGGGGGGGAGGGTGGTAGAACCTTTTTCATCAAGAGCGGATAATCGACGTGGTGCAATGCAACGCAAGGCAACTCAATACGCGGCAACGTAATGCGAACGAGCGCCGCACAAACAATTGCATTGCAAAGCAAAGCGACGCAAGGCGAAGTCAGGACAACCGATCAAAACACGCAAGCAGCAGTGCGCCGCATAGCACCGCAAAGCAAATAAGGCAACGCAGCGCAAAGCAACGCAACGCATTGCGCAGCAACGCGTCGCAACGCAACACATTGTCCTGCAAAGCCGCGCAAAGCAATGAACAGCAACACGTGCAACGCAAAGCGACGCGACGCAAACCATTACAGCACTGCGAGCGTCGCAGCGCCACGGGATGCGTATCACGGGGTACCACTGCACGGACGGCAGCGAGGCGGCGACGGGGCGGCGACGGCGGCCACATGGCTACCAGACCGGAGGCTCAGCCCAGACGACGGGCGGCGACGTGGCTGCGACGGCGGCCGCATAGCCGCCAAACCGAGGAGGTTGTCCAGTTTCTCAGATCTCGGAGGCGCATAGGCCTCTTACCCTGACTCGTCGATTAGTGAATTGGCCGTTTCCGGTTCGCGAGAGGGCGTCGCAGCCGTCATTGTTGCGGGTCCAGGTCCGTCGGTTTCGGTCTTGGGCCGTTTTCACTTAGGAGGATGTTACTAAAGGGAGGTTTGTCCACCGCCGAAGGGCACAAGTACCAGCCTTTCCGTGCGAGCACACTTTGGGAAATAACGTGTCCCCTGCCAGGTTAGCATTACGTAGTGCAGATTGTCGTTTGACGCATTTGGGCCAGGGCCAATGTGACGACGACAATGCAGGGACATTGTTGGCATTCGCAGATACAGTCCAGAACGATCAAAAACCAAATCTATGAAAATTGCTTGTTGTTCGTACCTTTCGTATACAACAATCGAACACATAGTGTCTCAATCGCCTTGTAGGCTTGAATGCGATCGCGCGCTCCATCGTCAATGTGGCGTCAATATGAGCGCAGGGTGCCGCGGCGGAGGATGGACAGACACGTGATTAATGTTTGTTCGGTGGGAATGAGGGTGAACATGGGAAGAGAGGATGAAGACGGGTCAGGATGAAATGGGTTATGTGTTTGTTGGCAGATTTCTTGGGGGAACGGGGGAGGAAGGCAAGGAATGAGGCAATGAAGGAGCAATAAGGACGACATTCATGAGAAACTTGGGGACGATTAGCGCGAAAGAGGACGGATGGGACATGAGGTGGAAGGGAAAGGAGACGCTTGGATAATGCAAGGGAAGAGGGGGAGGAAGGAGGGTCAGAAGGAGACAGGAGGGAGGGCAGTGCACGTGGCCATCCACATTGCGAGCGCGACAGAGAGAAGAACCATACTAATACATAGCATGTGCACGAGGCAGATCGATATAACGTCAGAGTGAGGGGGCTGAACCGAACGGTCATTCACTGTCCCTGGGTGCGTGGCTGAAGTGGGATTCCGCGATGCGGGTTCTCGTTGAACCCTCATTCTTGAAGAATAATTATTGTTGATCCCCCCCCACCGGTGCACATTGATTTTTTTCAATTGAAGTGCCCCCCCCCCGGGGCTCGCACTTTGTTTTTTGTGAAAGAAAGTCTTCCTGCTCAACTTGGCCCCCTGGCCCCCGGGTTACAACAACAACGGCTCCCGCCTGAGACTTCCTCACAATTTAGCCAGGACCCCCGCTCCCGCCCGAGACTTCCGCGCATTTTAGTCAAGAGTCGCGCTCTCGCTTGGGACTTCCTCACGATTTATTCAGGAATCGCTCCTCCTGCGCTCTGGAGTCGCGCTCTCGCTGGAGACTTGCTTGCAATTTACTGAAGAATAGCGCCCTTGCCTTGGAATTTCTTGCAATTTACTCCAGCGCCGCGCTCCCGACACCCAGGCACCCAGGAGTCGCGCTCACGCTTAGGACTCCTTCGCAGATTACCTAGGAATCGGGATCTCGCTGCCCTTCGTGGCCCCGTTGCAGCCCCTCGTGGCCCCCTCGCTTTGTTTCGTGGCCCCGTTGCAGCCCTTCGTGGCCCCCTCGCTTTGTTTCGTGGCCCCGTTGCAGCCCCTCGTGGCCTCCTCGTTGCCCTT